GTCCAGAGCTTCCCCTCCCTCTCCGTTGATTTTAAATTGTAAAGGGGTTGACGTACCTCCCTTGCTAGGCTTCAGATAGAGAGGGGCACTGTCCATTTAGTTCCCCCCAATTCTTTCTTTGGGGGCTGCAAGGTGAGGTCCCACCAGTATCCCTAATCCAGGCTGGGGATGTCTTCTGAAGGGGATATCTGGGCCAAAGCCTTCTACTCCTTGGGCACACTTGTTCTCCGTTCTAGGGTTACCTACCCTACGCCCGTATTTTCACAGACATGTCCGGCTTTTTGGGGTTTTAAATAGCCATCCGGAAGGAATTTGTAAAACTCTCAAAAGGTCCGGGATTTCCCTCCCAATGCAGAGGGAGGGAGTGGAGGGAGTGGATGGGGGCAGGGCAGGGCTACGCCCCGTGGAGTGTCCTCTTTTCTGAATGTTAAAATATGTCATCCCTACCATTCACAGTGAGCTCTCCATTCACAGCAAGCTGCAGCATGAGGTCTCAGCTACCTCACTCCTTCCCCCTCCCTTTCTTCTTGATAGCGGCCAAGGGAATGCTGGGAAATGTAGTTCTTTCCCTACTCCAGGGCTGGCTCTATAGGCAAGAAGCTAACCAAGGAACTACAACTCCCAGGGCCCCTGCTGGTTCTCAGCTCCCATGCTGGATCCCTGCCCCACCTGCAAATGTACCGCCCCAAGCACCTGCTTGCTTTGCTGGTGCCTAGAGCCGGCCCTGATTCCAGTGCTTCACCACCTCCTAGTGAAAAAGTTTTTCCTAATATCCAACCTAAACCTCCCCCACTGCAACTTGAGACCATTGCTTCTTGTTCTGTCATCTGGTACCACTGAGAACAGTCTAGATCCATCCTCTTTGGAACCCCCTTCCAGGTAGTTGAAAGCAGCTATCAAATCCCCCCTCATTCTTCTCTTCTGCAGACTAAACAATCCCAGTTCCCTCAGCCTCTCCTCATAAGTCATGTGCTCCAGACCCCTAATCATTTTTGTTGCCCTCCACTGGACTCTTTCCAATTTTTCCACATCCTTCTTGTAGTGTGGGGCCCAAAACTGGACACAGTATTCCAGATGAGGTCTCACCAATGTCGAATAGAGGGGAATGATCACATCCCTCGATCTGCTGGCAATGCTCCTACTTATATAGCCCCAAATGCCGTTAGCCTTCTTGGTAACAAGGGCACACTGTTGACTCATATCCAGCTTCTCGTTCACTGTATCGTCCACTGTAACTCCTAGGTCCTTTTTTGCAGAACTGCTGCCTAGTCACTCGGTCCCTAGTCTGTAGCAGTGCATGGGATTCTTCCGTCCTAAGTGCAGAACTCTGCACTTGTCCTTGTTGAACCTCATCAGAGTTCTTTTGGCCCAATCCTTTAATTTGTCTAGGTCTCTCTGTATCCTATCCCTACCCTCCAGCGTATCTACCACTCCTCCCAGTTTAGTGGCATCCGCAAACTTGCTGAGGGTGCAGTCCATGATATCCTCCAGATCATTAATGAATGGAAGAGAAGAAAGGGGGCGCTGAACTGTAGCTAGTCACCAGAAGGGGGCACGATGCTCAGTGTTACAGACCCCAGCCAGATGGGTCCCCTCCCCGTTCGGTATAGACCCAGCACCGCCCCTCCCATGGAGCACTAGGAGAAGGGTGGGTGGGCTGTGCCCAGGGGACTGCAGGGGAATTGGGTGATGTCCCTTTAACCTAGTTTTTTTGCTTTCTGGTGGCGCTCACGGGGGTCGATGGCAGAAGCCCGCAGACCCCGACATGCAGCCAGGCCTCGCACGGCTGTTAAATGTGTTGTTTGGAAGCCAGCTGGATCCAGGGGATCCCCCTATTCCTAACGTTGCACAGTGAGCAGCGGACCAACAACGTCCATGCCCAGATCCTCCTGTGACCCCCCTGCCCAGGGCCCCATAGGGTGAATCCACCGAGCCCTTCGATGGATGACACCAGCTCGACACTCGCTGTCAATCCTACCTGTAGAAGCCGAAGCCGGAAGAGACCCGCCCAGCCTGACCCCCAGCATAGCCCCAGCCGGAGTCGCCACTCAGCAGGTCACCAACCCGGCCCCAAACGCAGGGGACTTTACTGCCCTCGCTGGCTCCTGGGGCCTTTCACCACTGTGGAGAGTCTGATCTGACAGACGGGCCCTGCCCTGCCCGGGCACAGAGAGCCCTGCCGTGATCTAGCCAAACGCTGGAGGGCCGTGCACCTGCCAGGCTGCCAACGCGGGTAGCGCCAGCTGCCGGGCAAGGGGGGGGATACACGGGGGATGTCGGGGCTCCATGGTGCAGTGCGGTCACTCACCCCGTGCAGGGAGTGGGGTTTTCTACCCAGGGACCCGGCTTGTACGTGCAGAGACGCACTCGTTCCGGCCAGCCCCTGAGGAGCCTGCAGTCCTGTCTGGGGCAATGAGAGCTGGAGAAGCAGAGCTGGGAGGAAAACCCCTTGAAGTCAGTGGTGCTGCACCAATTTACGCCACTGGGGCTCTGGCCCCCGCTTTGTGACCATTTCACATACAGATGCACTGAGTTGGTGGTGACGTATGGGGGACGGGCGCATCGTCTGTCATTCCCGCGGGTTGGGGGAAGCGGTTCAGCCATTGCGGAAATGTCCATGACCAATTCTCCCAGAAATCTCAGCTAGGAACGAGTGCTGCAATTCGACATTCGCCTGCTTATTAACCCAACATTTCAGCCGTCCAATCAGGAAGCAGAAAAAGACCATGGGACTCGGGCAACCAACTGTACAACATCAGTGTCAAGTTTTCGGAGCCAACAGTTTGCCAATAAAATCACAGACATTTATCCACCCAAACAGTCGAAGGGTCGGCTGGTGAACGAGCAGGCTTGGATCAGCATGCAGAGCTGTTCTGCTGACTCCCTCTGGCGTTCAGATCAGCAGTGGCCTATCAGACATCTGGGGACAGATGGGTGGTGAGGAAGTAGGGGCAGGGCCACAGAAGAAAGCTAAGCTCTCCCCAATATTTATTCATAACGCCTCTCCTTCTCACAGAAATCCTTATGGCTAAAATCCCCTTTGCCGCTGAGCCACGGAACAAGGAGAGAGCAAGTTTGTCCTGCTCTCGTGGCTGGTTCCCATAAGTAGATAACAGCCTGCTACAGTAACTAGCTAATGGAGTTACTCCCTTAGCTCCAGCAGCTGAGCTTTCAGTCTACTGAAAGTGTGTGCTTTCAGTAGACAAGCCCTGGGTTTGATTCTTGCTAATGACCCAAGCTGGTTCCTTTGTGATGCCAGCTCCTTCCCCAGCCTTAGCAGCTGCTGAGGGTTCGGTTAACGGGGTTCTAGAAAGTAATGGGCTTTTTGAGCCCAAGCTGTATTAAAGGTTGTCCAACACAGAGTCCTCGGCTCCGTCTCAGCCCAGTTTGCTTTGCAAAGACCTGACCTGCCCCCACCTCAAAGCTCTGCTACGAAAGAGCATCTTGGGCTCTGATTGCAGCTGCAGGTTTGGGGGGATGTTGCAGCTTCTAACAACGTCCCTAATGCCCTACGCTCCTGCCTCGGTGGAATTAAGCAGCATGGCAAGAGACATGGCGACGTTCAGTCCCTGGGCTCAGTTTCCAGTTGTAAGACAGGCTGGGAGTCAGAACAGACACTGCCCGGGCGTGGCGCAGAGAAAGAGCGAGACCTCAGGGCAACCTGGTTAATTTCCCCATCCAGGCATGCGGGTTAGTGTCAGAGATCCTGGGTCAGTTCAGTGGCCGTGCATTAACAGCATCGCCAACGCCAACCAATCAATAAAAGCCCCAAACTGTGAGTCAGGCTGCAAAAAAGTCATGAGATTGGTTTAAAAATCACAAGATTTTTTTTTTAAAATAAATTTTAGCTTTGTTTTGTTTGACTCTGGTTTGGGAGCTGTCGGTCGCCCCAGTGTAAAGTTTGGCAGTTTTTCCTCCACCACATGAGCCGGGCCCTAATTTTGATTTTAGCCAATGTTAGCAACACTGCAGACAAGCCAGAAACATCATGCCTTTGCCATGACTGTTTCCAGCTCCCGTTGTACCTGTGCAGATCTGAGACGGATCCTTTTGACTCTTCCCAAATCTCTCACTGCATTTACACATGTAACTCCCTGGCATGTTGATGCAGGTCCCGTGGGGCTCACAGATTGTGGTGTTTCGCTGGCACTCGTCAATGTCTGCAAGAAGAGAGAAAGCGCTAGGTCAGGCTGATCTAGGAGCTGTACCTTGGGCACTGGGGTGACGCTGCTGGGGGATAATCCAGGCGTCCGACATGCACCGTGCTCTGGGGAACGGGGCTGGTTAGAGCCAGGAGTTCAGTTACTGGGTCAGCGACCGGGAGCAAGTTGGCTATTGTCCGGAATGAGCCGCTTCAGGTGGGAAGGGAAAAGCAGCCCTGCCAGGACACGCGCCGGCTGCTTGCTAAAGCTACCAAGCGGATCTGGTGATGCCCAGTGCCACAATATCAGTGCAGACGGCAATGCCTGAATGAGCCGCCTGCCCCTGGAAGGGACAAATGGGGAGCTGCTTTGGAGGAAGGGGATAGAGAACAACATCAGGGCTAGTCTAATGCCTGGAGATCAGGCAATGGGGTGACCTCCTCTGCAACCCATGAGCTGCCCTGGGCAGCCTCTTGCACATAGAACAGTGCAGAACCAGAGGGGTTCAGAGACAGGGAATGAGAATGATCAGGGGCCTGGAAAAACCCTCTACGGAGAGAGATTGAAAAGACTGGGACTGTCACCTTAGAGTGAACGTGGGAGGGGACATGTTAAGAGTCTATAAATGACTGACGGGGATAGAGAAGGGAGATGGGGAGCTTCTGTTCTCCCCACCTCATAACACAAGAGCAAGGGCCAATCAGGGAAGTTAGAAGAGGGGAAATTCAAAACTGAGCAAAGGAAAGGCTGTTTCGCGCAATGTGCGATTAACCTGTGGAACTCCCCACCACAGGAGTCACTGAGGCCAAGAATGTAGCAAGATTCCAGGAGCGACTGGACATTCCTACGGATGATGAGAACAGCCAGAGTGATCGTAGTTAAAGGGCACAAACATTTGGGAAGAGAGAGAAAACCTCCTACTGTGGGGCTTCAGCCCATCTGAGTATTAGAGACCAGGAAGTGAGGGCAGATTATCCTCCGGTTGCCACTGCAGGGCTCTTCCACCGTCCTCTGCAGCATCTGGCTCTGGCCCGTTGGAGCCGGGATACCAGGCTAGATGGGCCCCAGCTCTGATCCCGTCTGTGCTGTGCAAGTGCCAGCGTTACTTGTGTCTCAACCTGGCCGGGGCCACGGTTTTGCCTCTTCAGAGGCTGAGCTGCTCCCGGGGCCGACTGACCCTGTAAGAACCGACCGGCTGCATCCTGCCAAGTGCTGCCTCCTCCGCCCCTCGACCCTGCGACACTCGCGGGTTCTCCTGACAGCACCAAGGCGGCTCCGCGTTTCCAGAACCTGCTTTATTCCGGAAACGACGTACAATCGGTTTCTGCCCCCGACGGTTTCCAAGAGTCCATGCGGGACGGGAACGGAGCTTCCAGCGTCCTTATCCATCCCGTCCTGGTGCGATTGGGATGTTCATAGCGGGTAGCGCTGCAGCCGGGACCCCGTGGTGCCAGGCGCAGTACACACATCCAGCCACAGCACAGCCGCTGCTCCAAAGCGCTTTCCCCAGCTCAGACGCTCTGTCTGCTGGAGAAGGGGCGCCATGCGCTGGGTTCTCGGTGGTGCAGCCAGAGCTCTCCCCTCCCTCAGGCACACGGGTGTCCCGCGGCTTCCAAACTCGCTCCGAGTTGCAGGGAGCTCTGACATTGGGTGTCTCTAGGGGCTTAAGTCCATGGGGAAATTGACGGGAACAGCTCCTGTGGAATCGCTCCCCATCCGGACACTCTGGTCTGGAATAATCAGTGCGCTTCCAAAGAGAACAGCGATCGCCATCAATTCCCCCCGGGGACAAGCCCTAGGGATTCTCCGCACGGCTCCCGATACCAGCTATCCCCAGACAATCCCCGGGGCGCTGGCTGAGATACCTGTGGTGCTGATTTCTTCTTGTGCCTAGACCCGCCCCAGGACACTGGCTGGGGTTATCCCACGCGGCCGGGGGCTGGGCGCAGGAACGGCTGGGCGAGGTCTCTGCCAGGGAAGCGTTTGAACCAATGGGCTCCTGACTTCTCCCAGTTCGACGGGCCCGGTGCTCTGCCCCCCCCAAACGGGGGTGTAAAGGGCGGTTTCCATGGGAACGGCTGGGTAGGACTTGATACAAGCTCTAACTACCGGCTGAACGTCGTGGAAGCAGAGTCAGGATGAGCTCTACCCTGACATCTGGTGGTGAATTATGGCGAGTGTGGAAAAGAACTCCAGGGGCTGATCTGGTTTGCATAGGCACACCCACCCACCTGGCATGAAACAACAGCAACTCAAAGTGGTTACTTTGGCTGGTGTGGGATCCCCAGTTTCTCTGTTATTGGGGCAGGAAGAATAAAGTTTTGTTACCCTGATTCTGTGAATCAAGGCCAGTGGAACTGTTGTACGACAGAAGGACTGAGTGAGTCCTTCACCGTTATCTAAGTAGCACTTGCTTGACAAGGGGCATGGGTTACAAAACCCTGGTGAATTGACAGAGGATGGGTATAGGTATTTGTGTGTGATGGCATAAGCCTGCTCTGAGGGCTTGGAACACTAATTATGCTATTTTTTCTCTCCACTGTTGAATATCAAAGCTAACTGTGATTCCATTAGGAGTCTAGTTACAGTCTGCTGAGCTGAGTTCACTTTGGGCCAATAGTGCACTGGAGCTCCCCTACTATGAGCTGAAATCATAGAAGAGCTGAAGTTATTAAGAGCTGAGATCACTGAGTGCTGTGTTAACGAGTGGGGGAGCCTGAAGCTATATTGTTAAGCAGCTGATGGAGCAATTTGTGGGGACGAATGGAGGAGCAGCAAGTGGCGCGGAGCCTTGCGGGGCTGGTTGGAGCGGCCCAAGGAACAGCGGGCGGAGCTGTTTGTGGGGACTGCTGGAGCAGCTCACAGGTTGGTGAGCGGAGCGGAGCAGCTTGTAGAGCGGTGCAGTTTGTGGGATGGCAGGAAGTGGACTGGCTCGTGGTGAAGGCTGCGGTGGAACCCCACGGAGAGACGGCCGGCTGGCCTCGGATCATGTAAGGTGCCCTTTAACACCCTGCGTGCTCCCTTTTTACTCTGGGGCTGCACTGACCAGGGACAGAGACTTTGGGGATTGTTGGACTCTTGGGGGTTGCTGGACCCAAGAGACTTTGGGGGTGTTGGACTTTAGGGACTCTGGGTGATTTTTGGGTTGCTGGATTCAAGAACCAAAGGGAAAGGACACAGCCCAATTTGCTGGGGTGGGTTTTTTTGCTCATGGTTTGTGTTATGAATCCTGTTTGTGGTGTTTTTCCAATTTAATGCTGATGTCGTTTACCTCATATTATTAAACATTTTCTGCTACACACAGACTCCGTGCTTGTGAGAGGGGAAGTATTGCCTCTTAGAGGCACCCAGGGGGTGGTATGTAATTGTCCCAGGTCACTGGGTGGGGGCTTGAGCCGGTTTTGCATTGCGTTATTGAAACGGAACCCCTAGATACAGAACCTGGCCCTTGTTGCTGCCAACTTAGATGGGCAGAAGGGTTACAGTCGCAAACAAGGGCTTGGCACGCCCCGGCCCCTTCTCCGGTCAGGCCGCCCTGGCTGCCTAAGGGGGCATAATGGCCCCCGTGGGAAACACCCTCCCATCCAGGGGGCTCCCTGTCAGTGTGGGGCTGGAAAAGGCTCTGCTCCCAGCCCTGAGGGAGGGGGCAGATTGGGGGCATGGCCGGGGTGCCCTGCGCTGGGGCTATTCCCTGCTCCCCAGGGCCCATAGGGGGCAGAGCGCACTGTGCTGTATGTGGACCATCCATGAGGCCCCTTCCCAGGCTCGGGGGCACTAGCAGCCTGGATTCTGTGTGCTGGGGACAGCGAGGGCCCCACCCGTCTCCCCGGCGCCTCCCTGCAAACCTAGGGGATTATTCCCAATCCAAACACTGAGGCAGGGGAGATCGTGGCCCCCACGCGCTGGGGCAGCAGTTGAGGGTCACGGCTGATCACAGCCCCGGTGAGTGGATCCGGTGCCTTTGCTGCAGCCGGAAGCAGCCTCTGGTGCAGCACCAGGCCTGGAACGAGCCCAGGGGTGTGTGTATGGGAGGTGGTGGGGAACTGAGCAGGGTGCGGTGGGGGCCAGGGGTGAGCTCAGCCTGGCAGATGTCCCCACTCCCGTGAAGTTGGCTTTCCCAGAGCTGAGCTCGAAGCCATAAATGCAGCTGCAGGAGGAATTTCCAGCCATGTTGGTGCAGTTTGCATGGCCCTGACACTCATCAATATCTGCACCACAAGAGGGGACGTTCTGTACAGTCCTGGCAATACAGTTCCTGTATCACACCCTCCTCTACTGAGCTGGGTGAGGGGACTCAGGTGACCAGGCCCCTGGGAGCTTAACAATCACAGGCCTGATTCTCAGCTACGCTCAGGCCACACTTGGCTGTTCTGGCAGCGGAACAGCCACTCGAGAATATGGTGTATTGAAAACTGTGTTAGCATCACAAGCTCTCACTTTACATCTGCAAGGGGCTTTCCTGGAGCTGCTTGTGGGCTCGGGTGAGAAGCATGTGATCTGGGTTTTCAGCCGTGTATCTGCCAAAGGGCCAGTCTAGAGCAAAGTGGGGTTAGTTGTGTCCGTCTGCCTTCAGGAGCAGCCTGCTTTGTCTCTCTCTGTTCGGGGTCCTCGTGTGCTGGGGTTCTGGATTTTAAGAATAACCTTGTGTTGAGCTGCAGCCTGCCAGCGAGAGGATGTTTCTAACCGTGTGTGTGCCGTGAACATAACAGAGGGAAGGGGACTTTCTGACCCCAGAACACCACTGTGGCCTCGATGGGCCAAGCCCCAATGGGGCCAAGATTTGGGGAGATGTAGGAGTCCATGTGTGAAGCTGAGTTGCCCAAGGGGTGGGAACACTGGGACTTGGCAGAAATCCCCCTCAGGTTCCAATCACAGAGGAACACACAGGCATTGCCAGCCTGCGTCAGCCCCCAGGTCCATCTACCCCGCTATCCCGTCTGCGACGGGTGCTACAGAAGAAGATGTAAGAGTCCCACAGCAGCAGCCGGGGGATAATCTGCCCCCATGAAGGTCTCCTCCTGGTCTCTAATAGTCGGAGTTCGGCTGAAGCCCTGAAGTGGGAGCTTTTCCCTCCCTCCCAGAATTATTGTCCATTAACTAGCACAGCTCCAGGCATTGTCGCTCCCCATAGAAACAGCCAGTCCCTCTTTAAAACTGACACATTCACAGCCTCCAGGCCGCGGTAGCAGTGAGTTCCAGAGGCTACTGCTGCCCCGGGTGGAGGAGTATTTCCTTGTATTGACTTTGAATTTGCCCCTTTTCAATTCAATTCACTCCACACTCTGTCCCTTGCTCGCTGGCCTTTCTAAAGCTCGTGATTTTCTAAGTGAATCTGATTTTGTTTAGTGCCTGGGATTGTCGTCAGGAGCTCAGCCATGCACTTGAGACCCACTGGAGCAGAGTTAAGTGCGTAGCTGGGCAGGGCTGGAGCCAAGCATGTGCTTTGCTGACTCGGGGGGCTCAGGGAGCACAGACAGGAACCAGCACAAAGCGATTTAGCAGCTGGCAGCTTCCAGCGTCCCCCGGTGGAGACACCCGCATGTGGGTATCCCCTGCCAGGGGACTTTCATTGGTGCATGTGCCAGCTTCACCAGCGCAAAGGAGCCTCCAAATCCACTGCACTGCGAGCCCAGAGAGACCTCTTGGTCTGTGCCCTGGGCAAACTCCCTGCCCTGGGGAGCAACACGGAGCTGGCCAGCCCGGGTGTCCCCGCGCCATGCTGCTGGAAGCCAGGGTGTCTCAGGGAAGCCTGGGGCTGGGCTGGCAATGCCAGTCCCAGCACATACCCCTCCCAGCGCTGCCCTGGGGAGCGACGCGGAGCTGGAGCAGAGAGAGCCTGGAGCAGGGGCCTGGTACAAGGCCCGAACCAAAGTCAGCAGAAGTGATGCTCTGAGCAAAAGTCCGGCCCCGTGGGACACTGAGCCAGAAAGGGTTAAGGAACTTGCAGGCTAAATGACCCCAATTCTGCCTTTAAAGCCACACTAGAAAAGGAGCCGGGAGCTGTGTTTCTGGCTTCTGGGTGAGCAGCACGGTATCGACGCAGCTGGTTTGTTGCTGGTTTGGTGAATCTAAGTTTCAGAACTAATCAGTCAGTTTGGGGGATTGTCGGCCCCACTCTGCAGTTTGCCCTGATGGAGCAATCTCAGTGTGGCCCCCCAGGCACCAGTCACACCCTGACACAAAGCAGAGGCTTCCTGCAAGTTCACCGTCCAGTGCACGAACTCGGCACCGGTATTGCCGGCATTGCTAAAACCCAGTGACTGTGTAACCACATCCCAGCGCGAGATTCCCCTGCCTAGCGCACGATACGATGGTTTGACGGGTGGGGAATGTTTTGTCTGAAGCATCAGGAGTAAAGTACAAAGCCAGGGGGTGAATAAGGGATTTTCTGTCTGAAGCAGCAGGAGAAAGGCACAAGGGGGGTAAGAAGCATGTTGTGAAACACACAAGCTGGGACGTAGGTTGTTTATCCCGGATGGTTTGTCTCAGTCTGTAACTGTCGGGATCCATTGTCAGAGGCAGACATGTGGCCGCGTCCTTGTGGCATCTCTGGGCGCTGGCACTGGGCTGCATTGGCGATAAACCTGGCCGAGCACCTTCGCCACTGATCCGACTCTGTGGGCTGTCTGGGCACTTTGATGCAGCCGGGACAGCACACGGAGCCGACGAACGCCAACCCCATGTCCCCGCACCAGACTGCTGGAACTCGGGGTGCCTCAGGGAAGCCTGGGGCTGGGCTGGCAATGCCAGTCACAGCACATGGCCCCTCACAGTGCTGCCCACGCAGGGAGCTTGGGGCAGTGGGAGAGTCCCTCGAACTAGCAGCTGCACCCCCTAGAGCCCAGAGGAGAGCATGGCTGCCTGCCCCCAGCGGAAGCTCAAGCAATAGGGGACGGGGGCGAATTCAAGAACACTTTAGCACAGTTCCCAGAGCCGTTCCCGGGGCCACTTCGCAGGCTCCGCGGCGCACTAGAAGCTCAGATGCTGCGTGCTGGGGCCAGCGAGGGTCCCCTCCCCTCTCCCCAGCGCATCTCTGCAGCACAAAGAGTTTGCTCCGTGAGTCTGTTTCTAACCCCAAGGGTTTATTCCCTGTCCAAGAGCCGGGCACAGGGGTGAGCCTGGCCCCATGCTCTGCGGGAGCAGGTGAGGGTCACGTCTCATCACAGCCTCGGGCCACCACCGAAGCCGGCAGCAGCTCTGGTGCCGCGCCAGGCCTGGAACGAGCATTTGTGTGTGCGAGGGGGGGGGGTGTCTCAGCATGTGGGGCCAGGGGAGCGCTCACCCTGGCAGGTGTTCTCACTCGCGTTCGTGAAGTTGGCTTTCCCAGAGCTGGGCTCGTAGCCATCGATGCAGGTGCAGGAGTAACTCCCAGCCACGTTGGCGCAGTGTGTGTTGCGTCCGCAGTCTGGCGGGCTCGGCCCCAGACACTCGTTAATATCTGTAATGCAAGAGGGGACGCTCTGTACAGTCCTGACAGGGAGACGTTCCCTGTATCACCCCCCCAGCACCCCGCACTGAGCTGGGTGACGGGACCCAGGTGACTGGGGCCCTGACCAGTTAGAGATTAAGGGCCTGATTCTCAGTTACCCATTTCTGCTGCTGGAATGTCGGAAACAGCCCCCCTGAGCCTCCTGTCCCAGGTACGGGGGGTTCAGCCCCACAAACACCAGATCCCCCATGTGAGGGGAGGGGGGGAGACAAACCTCTGGGGCTCCAGGCTCCCTGTGTGTTGGGTGTGTGTGTGTGACAAGCTGCCTCCCTCTGCCCCCTCCCTCCTTGTATACCTGTGGGCTGGGCGGGCTGGTGGGGGAGTAGCATAGCCAGGGCTGCCCCATTCTGCTCCCATGGGGCCCCTCTGCCCCAGGACACCCAGGGGCTGATGAGGGCCCAGGCTGGGATTCAGACGGGTCAGTGTGATGGGCCCT